CCCGCTTGCCCAGTTCCTGCCCCTGAAAAGCAGGGCCCGTCACAGCCGGGCCGCGAGTGATTTCAGGGTTTTGCCCCACTTCTGCAGGGATGCTGTTCTTTTTTTTTTTTTTTTTTTTTTTTTTTTTTGTACCGGGGATTGAACTCAAGGGATGCTGCTCTTAGAGGGGGCCAGACGGCACCTCTGAGGCGTTTATCCGAGGAAAGGGCACAGCGCACCCTTTGTTGGCGCGCACCGACGACTCGGAGATGCCCCGGGAAGGGCAGACAGCAATCAGTCCCTTTTGGTAGAAAGGGAAAAGAAACTTCCGTGGCGTGACGGGGGCGCGCGACAGCCAGCGAGGAGTGATGTGGCCTCGATCCCAGGCCTGGAATGCCGAATGCCGGCCGAGCTGATCCCCTTGTTCACCTGGACCCCGGCCCTCTGTCCACCAGCTTCCCCTCCCGGGTTCAGCCCGCCCAGGTCCGACCCTTCTGCATCTGGCGCTTTGCACCGTCACTTGTGTTTCCACCTTTCCAGTGAGGGCCACCCCCAGGCTGCTTGCTTTTTTCACCCCGGTACTGGGCGTTGAACCCAGGGAGCTGTGGATTATATCCTTGGTCTTAAAAATAACAGGGTCTAAGGTTGGTGTGGTACAGTGAAACTGTCTCAAAACAAGCACAGGATCTACCTAAATTGCCCTGACTGGCTTTGAATCTGCAATCTTCTTGCTCAAGTTTGGTGTGGTGTGTGTGTGTGTTTTGTTTGTTGGTTGTTTTGTTTTGTTTTGTTTTGCGGACCGGGGATTGAACTCGGGACCTTGCACTTGCCAGGCAAGCGCTTAGTCTACTGAGCCATCTCCCCAGCCCCTAATTTTTTTTTTTTTAAAGAAATTTATAGGGGCCGGGGAGATGGCTCAGTAGGATAAGCGCTTGACTGGCAAACGCAAGGATCTGAGTTCAATCCCTGGTTCCGCAAAAAAAAAAAAAAGGAAATTTATAGAGCAAAATTAGGCAGGTACAACGTGGGTCAAAATTATGATCAAACAACCAAATTGCTAGTCGCTTAGGTAACATTGATCCGGATGGTAGCACAGCTACATGAGTGACATCAATTTTGGCT